ATGTTTTTGTTTCTTTGCTTGCTTTTCATTTTTTGTTCCTTTTCTTTTTTGTTTGGGTTTTTTTGTTTGTTTCTTTTACCCCAGGAATTGGTCAAGGGGTTCCAGTGGTGGCCCTCATTGTGGAAGGAGGTCCTAATGATATCTCCATCGTTCTGGAGTACCTACGAGACACTCCTCCTGTTCCCGTTGTGATATGCGATGGCAGTGGCCGGGGCTCCGAACCTTGCCTTTAAAAAAAAAAAAAAAAAACAAAAAAAAAAGGAAGTTAAAGAGTTAAAGCAACACTAATGAAAGAGGAAAGTCTACGGAATAAAACAGAGGTGTAGAAACTGTATCATATAGTTACTTGCCATGACATATAACACATTGACAAATACAATGTATGGTATCTTGCAGTTGCAGGTCAAGGAATTCAAAGGGCATGGGGAGTTATTTTCATGGGCTTAGTTATGCTATGTCATTATAATATAATGTACTGCTATCTTCAGGTTTCATTTAGCCCTACATGTCCTTATAATCTAGTCTGTATTTGCCTTGCCTATTGGGCATGATTCTGCACATCCACCTATATTCACACATGACTGTTTGTGCACTGATCTGTGTTTGCACTGTTCCACCTTTCTTTGCAGACTCAACGTGAGGCAAGGATAGTATTTAGCTTTTATTGTAGAAGATTCAAGTGTGTTTTTGTTGAATCAGGCTGTAAGCATGCTTTGCAAGTTCCAAAGTGCATATTATTACTGAACTTCCAAATCTTTAATATTCTTTGTTCTTCTCTTCTACCACCAAAAATATGTAAATAACCATAGAATCACAGAACAGTTGAGGTTCGAAAGGACCTCTGGAGGTCATATGGTCCAACACCCATACTCAAGCAGGCCCACCTACAGCCAGTTGCCCAGGACCACGTCCGAATGGCTTTCGAACATCTCCAGGGATGAAGACTCCACAGCCTCTCTGGGCAACCTGTGTCAGTGTTCAGTTACCCACATAGTAAAAAAAGTATTTCCTGATGTTCAGAGGGAACCTCCTGTGTTTCAGCTTGTGCCCATTGCCTTTGGTCCTGTCACTGGGCACCACTGAAAAGAGTCTGGTTCCATCTTCTTTAGACCCTCTGTTCAGCTATTTATATACATTGATGACATCCTCTCTGAGCCTCCTCTGCTCCGGGTTGAACAGTCCCAGCTCCCTCAGCCTTTCCTCATATGTGAGGTGATCCAGTCCGTTCGTCTTAGTTGCCCCTCGCCAGGTGCTCTCCAGTATGTCGATGTCTCTCATACTGGTGAATCCAGAACTGGACACGGGGCTCCACGTGTGTCCTCACCAGTGCTGAGGAGAGAGGAAGGGCCACCTGCCTTGATTTGCTGGCAGCACTCCTCCTAATGCAGCCTGGGATACCATTAGCCTTTGTTGTTGCAATGGCACATTGCTGGCTCATGTTCAACTTGGTGTCCACCAGGACCCCCAAGTCCTTTTCTGCCAAGCATCTTTCCTGCTGGGAGGCCCTCAGCATGTACTAGCACACAGGGTTGTTGCTCCCCAGGTGCAGGACTGCTTGCATTTCCCCTTGTTGAATTTCATGAGTTTCCCATCAGCTCATTTCTCCAGCCTGTCAAGGTCCATCCGCCAGAGGGCAGCACGACCATCTGGCATATCAGCCGCTCCTCCCAGCTCTATATCATCAGAAAACTTGCAGAGGGTAGACTCAGCCCCATCTACCAGATCATTAATGATGATATTGAGCAGGGTTGGACCCAGGATTGGTCCTTGGAATACACCACTAGTTGCCAGCCGCCAACTAGACATCATACCACTGATCACAACCCTCTGGGCCCAGCCATTCAGCCAGTTTTCAGTTCACCTCACTGTCTGCTCCTGCAGCCCATACTTAACAGCTTCTCTATGAGGATCTTATAGGAGACTGTGTAAAAGGCCTTACTGAAGTCTACGTAGACAATATCCACTGCTTGCCCCTCATCTACCAAACCGGTTATTTCATCACAGAAGGTGATCAGGTTGTCAAGCATGACTTCCCCTTGGTGAATCCACGATGACTACTTCTGATCATCTTCATGTCCTTCATGTGCCTGGATATGGTTTCCTGGATTAGCTGCTCCACCACCTCCTCAGGGATCAAGGGGAGGCTCACCAGCCTGTAGGTCCCTGGGTCCTCTTTCTTGTTCTTCTTGAAGATAGGAGTGACCATTGCTTTTCTCTAGTCATCGGGCAATTCTTCCAGTTGTCATAATTGTTCAAAGATTATGGGGTGGTCTTGCAATGACATCAGCCAGCTCCCTCAGCATTCATGAGTGCATCCCATCAGGGCCCATGGACTTACAAATGTCCAGTTTGTTTAAGTATTTCCTGATCCTCTTCCACCAAGGGTATGACTTCTTTCCTCCAGACTTTCCCCCCTGGTCTCTGGGGCCTGGGATTGAAATAGGCACTCAGTACTTCAGCCTTTTCCATGTCTTATGTCAGCAGGTCCCCTGCCCCATTCATTGATCTTGGAGGAGGAGGTACTTGAATATTAACCAGCTTTCTTGGGCCCCTCCTCCCTCTGGGTCTTGTCACATAGGACTCTTCCAAGCAGATCCCCAAAGAGGCCAAAGTCTGCTCTCCTCAAAACATAGAATCATAGAATCATCTGGGTTGGTAGGGACCTTTAAAGATCATCTAGTCCAACTCCGCTGCAATGAGTAGGGACATCTTCAACTAGATCAGGTTGCTCAGAGCCCCATCCAATCTGACCCTGAATGTGTCCAGGAATGGGGCATCTACCACCTCTGGGCAACATGTTCCAGTGTTTCACCACCCTCATTGTAAAAAATTTCTTCCTTATATCTAGTCTAAATCTACCCTCTTTTAGTTTAGAACCATTACCCTTTGTTCTATTGCAACAGGCCCTGCTACAAAGTCTATCCTCATCTTTCTTGTAAGCCCCCTTTAGGTACTGAAAGGCTGTAATAAGTCCAGGATTGTGATCTTGCTTTTTGTCCTCTCCCTCTTCTTGGAATCCTGAACTCCACCATCTCATGGTCACTGTAGCCAAGGCTGCCTTTGACCTTCACATCCTCATTGAGTCCCTCTGTTGCTGAGTATGAGGTCCAGCAGAGCACTTCTCCTCATTGGCTGCTCTCTCACTTGGGTCAGGAAGTTGTTATCAATGCACTCCAGGAACCTCCAGGACTCCTTATGCCCTGCTGTGTTTTCCTTCCAGCAGATACTACAGTGGTTAAAATTCTTCATAAAGATGAGGACCTGTGAGCATGAGGCTGCTCCTAGCTGCCTGTAGAGGGCCTCATCCACTTGTTCTTCCTGGTCACGCAGCCTATAGCAGACACGCACTACAATGTCACCTTTACCTGTCTTCTCTTTAATCCTAACCCATAAATCCTCAGTTGGC